GAACCATTTACTCCAGCGCCACCATTTTCCAGAACTGCAACCTCTCAGAGACTTAGGTTAAGTATAGAATCCTAAAAAATGACCCCTACTTAATAAGAATAACATATTGAAGTGTAGTAAAATACTTGAAGACTGATTTATATATATATATATCCAGAATCTGGCAGTAAGTTTTGGGAGTTCATTTTTAGTCCACCTCGAGATTTTATCTGTAGAAGATAACCTGTTTAATAATTATGCACACCTGAATTTCGCTTCCAGCCTTCATGAACAATAATATATAGATTATAAGTGATTAAATACAAGATTAATAGTGGTTATTAAGATTGATGTTGTTTGGAATTGTCGAAATACTTTTTTCTTTGCGAAACGAACGTTTTCTCCACAAAACTAAGATCGCGTGCGTGCAAAATGCACTTTTGTGCGCTCAGAATATGAGCTTTCGCGCGCAGAATTGTGGCAGAGATCTAAGCCTATACGTGCGCAGCGGGAAAGAAACCTCACGCTCGGGCGGCAGTACCGGCGAGTATCAGAAACTAAATAATGTTTGGGCAAACCCTTTTTTGAAGAATTTATTATTTTTTTAAGTCGCTAAAGGGGTCTGAAAAGTCGCTAAGCTGGCAACACTGTGCATCTCCATTTCTCCCAACTACGGGTTAGGCCACGGGTCAAACAGAAAATGCACGCTGCGTTAATGAAATTAGTGCCATTAAAATGAATTTGCGTTAACGCATTATTAACGGGTTAATTTTGACAGCCCTAAAAAAAAACATAAATAAAATTAAAAAAATAAAAATTGAGAGAGAGAGAATGAAAGAGAGATCTACATAAATATTATATGAGCTAAGGTTGATGATCAATATTTTTGAAGGTTAACCACCTCCTTTCACTGACCACTTTGTTAAAAAAAAAAAAAAATCATAAAATTCAAGGCATTAATGTTTGCCTACAAAACCACCACTGGCTCTGCACCCCTTTACCTAAATTCATTACTTCAGACTTATGTGCCCTCTAGAAGCTTGCGTTCTGCAAGTGAACGGCGTATTATTGTGCCATCTCAAAGAGGCACAAAATCACTTTCACAGACTTTTAAATTAAATGTTCCCTCCTGGTGGAATGACCTGTCCAACTCAGTCTGAGCAGCTGAGTCCTTAGCCATCTTCAAGAATCGGCTAAAAACACATCTGTTCCACCTTTATTTGACCCTCTAACTCTTGCACATTCTATTCTTTAAAAAAATCCCTTTTAGACTTGCACTTTATTCATCTACCGCTTGTTTTCTTAAAAAAAAAAAAACAAACTAGTTTTTCTAATCTTTTTGTATTCTATCTGTTTTCTTATTTATTATACAATTAACAAAAGCAAAAAAGGCCTCTAACGCTAGATTGCTCTATTCTTTTTTCTATTCTGTTTTCTTTTTATTTATTATATAATAAAAAAAAAACCTTGCTCTGTGTACTGCGTTAAGCTGAGACTTGTTATAGCACTTGCATATCATTGCTCTTTTGTTGATTTTGATTGCTTCAATGGACTCTTATGCACGAACGCTGCTTACGTATTTCTGGTAATCTCAGCCAGCGACTTCACTTCCGCATAGCGCTATAATACTAGCGGCAGAACTCTTTCTTGACGTATTGTAAACAACTCATTAGTATTTTCTAAATAAGTATTATTAACATAAAACATACATAACATCAAACTCTAGTTATCGTTTCCTGAAATATTAAATATTAACGGTCGAAGACAGTAGTTTCCCCAAACGTTGTGTCCTGTTGTGCTAAAGGGGCTATTACTCACCTTATTCCAGTAGAATATCTACTCCGTTTCAGCACAATGCCCTTAATACAAGCGAAGTATTGAAGAGTAAACACTAGAGACAGACTTCATTTATACCCTTGGCTATTCACACTCTTCACAACAATACAATAGAACAGCACAATATATTAAAATAATTAGTATAGAAATTGTGGATGGATAAATTTGCATTTATTTGTACAAATGTAGATAATATAAATATAAATGACTTTGTTACCTGGACTGCAGTAACGTAAACATGTAAATATAAATGACTTTTGATACCTGCACTGCAGTAACGTAAATATAAATGACTTTGTT